TTTATCTTAATGAATATTGTGGCCTCTCAGCAGAATGCAAGGTTCTTGATGGCAGAGGTTGTGCTGTCTTTCTAGCACAGGGGGTTAGGGACGGAGCCCAAGATGTCATTAAAATGGGTGCTATGAGAAATGATGAGCTCAATGATCTTAGAAAGGCATGGAAAGACTTATACAAAATAGTGAAGAGTGAAGTAAGCAGAACCTACAGAACATTGTATACAGTAACAGCAATATTGTTTCAAGAATGACTTTTAGCAACTAAGTCACAAATTAAAAATAAAGGACATATGAAGAAAGATGCTATCTTCATTCAGAGCAAGAACTGATAAATAGAAGTATGCATAGAACAATTTTACATAGATATGTAATTACATATATATGTGTGTGTGTATATATGTGTGTGTGTGTGTGTGTGTGTGTGGTGTGTGTGTGTGTGTATATATATATATATATATATATATATGCCTATTTGTGTCCAATGATAGCCATTTCTAGGATGGGGCAGGAGGGAGGGTTGTAACTCTTGTTGTTCAGCCATTTTTCAGTCATGTCTGACTCTTCATGACCCCATTTGGGGGTTTCTTGGCAAAGATATTGGAGTAGCTATTTCCTTCTCCAGCTCATTTTGCAATTGAGGAAAGTGAGGCAAAAGGTGTTAAACGACTTGCCCAGGGCCACACAGCTAGTAAGTATCTGAGGATATATTTGAACTCAGGCATTCCTGATTCTAGGCCAGGGCTCTATCCAATGCATCACCTACCAGTGCAAAGAGATGTGATTAGCACATTCAACAAGTGTGCTTTTATGTGGCTTGCTAAGTTTGTTCTTCCCAGGTCCTTGCAGGTAGGTGGACAGTTGTCTCGAACTGACAAATTCTTTATCATAACCAGTTATTCCAGGGTTGAATAAAAACAGCCTAGAGAGGAAGTGAAACTCAAGCCATCCCATTTTTTCCACTCATTAGCAGCTCTGGTATAAGATTTGGTGGGAGAGGAGACTGATGTTATTGGTTAAATTGAGGTTCATGTTTGTGGCTTTCAAGTATGCAAGCATTCCCCTTCCCCCTATCCCTCATTACTGCAACAGTTGTTCTAAAGCTCAACTCTGCAGTTGGAAGAAAATATCTCCACCAAATAGAGCTCTTTGAGATAGTCATTTGGCCAACAGCTTTTTGTAGTTAATTTCTCTGAACAACTAGACTGACAGAAAATAGTGTTGTTTCACACAACTGTAATTTCAAATCATCCTTCACGGTGTGTGTTTCACAGGACTGGACTGTTGAAAACAGGCACAATGTAATGTGGCTTTTAGAGGGACCCAAGAAAAAGAGGGGATACAGAGAAAGGATTAAGTAGAAATGCTTTGCCAAGCATCTGAAGCCCAAGATGAAGGAACCCTTAGAAAATGGGGGATGTTTTCTAGTCTTGAGGCCAAAGGAGTTGTAAGAGGGTTTCACTTCTTCAAGCTCCAAAGGATTGATCCAAGAACCGAAAGAACTGGTGAGCACCCCGCTACAGAAGGTAGCATTGGAGAAACCTGCTGACTAGGGAGTCTATGAGAGACACCCTTTGTGAGACATTTGGCTCCAGCTTTTTGTTCTTCATACTTTCTTTGCTGGAATGGATAGACGGGACAGTAGATAGAGCAGTGGGCCAGGAGTCAGGAAGACCTAACTTCAAATCTGGCCTTAGACACTTAACTAGTTGTGTGACCCAGGCCAAGTCACTTACTGCTGTTTGCCCCAGTTTCTTCATCTGTCAAATGAGCTAGAGAAGGAAATGGTAAACCATTCCAGTATCTTTGCCAAGAAAACTCCAAATGGGGTTATGAAGACTTGGACACAACTGAAATGATTCAACAACACCAATTTTCTTTATATGAAGAGGTAGAGAAGGTTTGAAGATTAAGGAAGAGATGATGCCTTATTTATCATTATATCTCCCTTAGCATCTAGCGCAATGATGTGTAAATACTAGGTGTTTAATAAGTATCTGCCAAATGAATGAATAAAATGAATAAAATATACTGTCCTTGGATTCTGTGACTTTTCATTGGTAGTATCCTCTGCCTCCCATGCCTGGAATGTTCTCCATTCTCAGGTCCAATCTTGACTCTCCTGGCTTCTTTCAAGACTATGTTCAAATCCCACTTTCTGAAGAGAAAGTGGCCTTCCCCCTCCCCAATCCCCCCACCGACATACACACAGGTGGTGCCTTTCCTCTGGTATTATCTCCCATTTACACTGTATATAGCATGTCCTAAAAGTCTTCATCTGTGTTTAATCTTTCATAGCTTAATATTGCATGAACTTTTAAGATACCATGTATATCTTTTATGAATGTAAGTAATTGTTTGTGTATTGTCTCTACCATTAGATTATAAACTCCTTGAGGGGAGGGACCATTTAAAAAAAAACTTTTCTTCCTATTCTCAGCACTTAACAATTCCTGGTACTTAATGAGTGCTTAATGAACTCTCATTGATTGGTTGATTGATATGAACCTGACTCCTAACAGCCAATCAAGAGATTTCCCTTTGAAAAGCTTTTGTAGGTTGATGATTCTGACAAGAAGTTGAAATCATAAAATATGCTGCTGGAAGGATTCTACAAATCATTGAATCAGGACCCTTGTTCTAATCCCAGGGTTGTCTGTTACCTAGCTCTATGCCCTTAGCAAAGTCAGTTCACATTTCTGAATCCCCGTTTCTTCATTTGTAAAATGAAGAAATTGGATAATTTTGAGGTAGCAAATTCTCAGTGGGACCAGAGCCAGATTGAAATGTAATTGGGTAGGGGCAACTAGGTGGTGCAGTGGATAGAGCACTGGCCCTGAAGTCAAGAGGATCTGAATTCAAATCCAGGCTCAGACCAAACATTTGACATTTCCTAGCTGTGTGATCCTGGGCAAGTCACTTAACCCCAGCTGCCTAAAAGCAAAAAAAAAAAAATGTAATTGGGAAATGTCTAACAAAATAAATAAAAATTCAATCAACAAAGATAATGTTAATGTGTGGTTTTCTCAGTCAATATGCCCACAGAGATCCATTTTTCTCTTTGAGTTTGACACTGCTGGATTAGATGATCTGTTAGGTCTCTTTAAGCTCTAAATCTATGATTGTATTAACTTTACATGACCACCTCATTTTACACATAAGCAACCTGAAGTCCCAAGGGGTTCTTACTTGTATAAGGTCATAAAAACAAAGTCTGGATTCAAACCCAAGTTCTTTGACTCAAAAAGTGAGTTTGGTTCAATTAATCACCCAGGGCTAACTAAATTCACTATTGGAAGGACACTGCCATTGTCACTGTTTGTAGGTTTTGAGCCACAGATGTGTCAACTGGATGCCTTCACTTACCAGGTAGGTTCAGGGTAAGGTCATATTTGAAATAAATTTTCAAATTAAAAATAAAGGTCTTCTAGCTCCTGCTAAGAAGCCATGAGTATGAATTTGGGGTGGAAATATAAAGGAAGAGAAAATTGTTCAGTCACCTTTAGAGATACTTCATGGATGGGGCAAATACTACATCCCTACTTGATGGAAGTTTCCCAGCGCAAACAAGGATCGGAAATTGTTGGAAATCCAAAGGAATAAGACCTGGTCCAAAGGAAATTGAACAAAGAAGCCTATCAGTGGACAGCAAATACTGTGGTTAGAAGGAGAGACCAAAGTAGAGCTCAGGATTTGGAAAACTGTAAGGAAAATAAATTATTCTCAGCCAAGAGCAAATATGAAAGAAACAGGCTCAGGCCACACGGTAACTAGGACAGATGGGCTTCGAGTGAGGTAGTGTTTATCAGTGCTGCTGTTTGGGGAGAAACACACAAAAGCTTGCACTGCCTCATCAGGGAATCTTGGTGGCAGTATTAACATGGTGACAACTGATGTGTATGTGAGGAGGTGGCTTCAGGAAAGGCTAATGAATGACCCAGAAGCATTATTGATTATTGTTATTTAAGCCCTTCCTTGCACTAATTTATAAAATTAATTCTTATGTATCAAGATTTTCATGACCTATACAATATAACTGGTCATCAGAGGAGTGCCTTTCAGCTGCACTGGTACAATTCACAAATTGACCTGGATGTAGAAATCATAAGAAACTTGAAGAACAGCACCAGACTAGATTGGTAGACCAGCATTAGAGAGCAGTTGAAAAGTCAGGTCCCATCTAAGTGAGAAAATAAGATACTCAAGTGTCTGGAACCAGAGACAGCTCAACTAGTGATCAAGGGTCCAGAAGGGAGTCGTCTGTTGAGATGAACTTCCTACGGGGTGACCAAGCCAGTTTAACTCAGTTTACTAATATAGGTAAGATCATAGCCATTAGTTGTGGCTTATATAAGCTAACCCTGGATACCCTTTTTGGGGGATGGTCCTATTATATCAGTGATGTCATTAAATAGCTAAAGTGCATCACAACAAAGAATGAAAATTCTAGGACTCCAATTGGTAATTTTTGTACAGTTTCAAGGTAGATTATCCTTTCTTATACAGAAAAAAAGGCACTTACAGGAAATTTGTTCTTTTTCTTCCCTAGCTCTCAAGGTATCTTCTTCTAACATAGGGATGATAATTAAGGTAAATACGTAACCAAGGTTAGATTGGTCAAGGAGGTAGAAAGGAGGCATTAACCTGTGAGAACCCTAGTGTGCATAGCTAGAAAGAAAGCAAAGGCTTTCTATAATCTCATAAACTTTTTTTCTCCCAGGTTCTGGGAGGCCTCTTTGCAGCACAGAGGCTTCTTTGGTCACAGCCTGGGCCTTTTTTGTTCCTCAAGTCTGACCTTGCATGCTAATATACGAATATGTGCCAAATTTACTTCCACAGCTAGATCACCCAGAACCTCCAGGAACCAAGGGAACCAAGAAGATTGGCTTTTGTGATTATACCCAGGCCACCCATGAATAAGTCCATTGAGCAAGGGGTAAGAAACAGCTATTCAGTCTATAAATATCCTCAAGGCTGGCCTGCAAAGCCAATGATGTCAGAGAAAGTGAACAGACATCTCCAAAGAGACAAGTTCAGTATGGAGAAGGCCAGGCATAAAGGATAACTTCCCCTCTGTCATTATGTTTCTATACTTGATGCAGTAGGGCTGGTGAAATGTATCTTTCCCAGCACTGCCTTACAAAGAACTAGTCCTTATGAGAAACTCCCTGGGATCCCCCTGAGGAGCATCAGGTGTGTCTGCAATAGCTCCATCAGCAATGAGGTAAGGCTTGAATGGTGGTACTCTGCCCTTGGGTGAAAGATAGGGTGGAAAAATAGGTTGGAGCTGGGAGAAGAGACAGCTGAGAAGGGAAAGGAGTGCCGGGATGCCGAGACTGCCAAAAACCTGTGGAAAGGTCTCACAAAGAACTCTACTCTGCATTTGGTTGGCTTGGCTTGCCATTCACTGTGAGCAGAATGGGGATAGTGCTTTTCACAGAAATGTTAATGGGAGATAAAAATTGCTTACGTAATGCCCCTGCACCAGTGAAGGAACAGCCTGTCAAGGGAAACTTGGAGAAATTGCAACCGGAGATGATGCTGGGACAGAGCCCAAAGTGCTTTGTGCCATTTGCGGTCGGGAAGAGGGTGGAGAGAGGGGCGTGACATGTTGAAGTTTAGTTCATGGCACCAAAGGGACACAGCCCCGAGGTCAGTATCACTCTGGTCACATGATATCATGACAAGAGACAGTAAACAGAGAAATCAATAGGAGAAATAGGAAGCATCTTTGGAAAAACCTAATGAGATACTTGAGTTACAGCCAGGATTATACAAGGGCCATTCAGCACTTGGCTGGAGAGCTCACCCTGGGGATAATGCTTGATCAAATGTTCCCTGGGTATGGGGCTCCCAAGAATGATGGTGCACTGCTCCTTCTGAAGCTGTTTACTAGCCAAATGGAGCTCCAGGGCGAGTTCTGTTAAACTGGATGGAGAATTACTCCTCATTTGTTTGCCCTGGGCGTGCAAGGCAGTTAGCTCATGACTTGTAATTGACAGGGGCAAGTTTCTCATGACATCCAGGCAAGTCCTTTTTGGCTCTGGAGGTAGCATTCAGCCACGCTGAGTTATGAAGAGGTAATGAATTGAGTGGAGGATTCAATGCCTTGAATAGGTTAAAAAATAGTATAACTACCTGTTTCAGGATACCTAGGGTGGTCCTAATTTTAGAAGATGATGTCCTAGTACTAAGGAGAGGTTTTAGTTGGTACTCATCCCAAGCATTCCTAACTTAACTCTAGCCCACAAATGCCTTTCCTTTACCTTATATTCCTCTAGGATTTATGTTGCATTGAATTGTTCTTGGTTTCTTATCAATAGATGATCCCTCTCTCACCATTTGATCTTATTCTAGAGTTCTGCAGTACTTAGCTTGTATTGTGGTATTATGAGCTTACTCTTGTTCTTTATTCAATTTAATTCAACAAGCATTTATTAATTGCTTACTATGTGCCAGGCACTCTGCTAAGTTAGGGGTACAAAGATAAAAATGAAAGTCTCTTCCCTCAAGGAGCTTATATTCTATAAGATGTTCGCATATGTTTAAGGAACTATAAGTTCATGGAGAGTCTTTTTCTCATGGATTCATTGCATTTTAGAACTGGAAGAGAGCTCAGAAGTCAATTTTATTAACAATACCTCACATTTGAATACTACTTTAAGGTTTGCAAATCCTAACTTTCCTAACAACACTCCTATTAGGTTGGTAGAACAAGCCATTATCCCTATTTTATAGATGAAAAAACTGAGGCTCTAGGAAAGAACTTCTAATTTGATAGGAAAAAAAACTGCTGGGAAAACTGGAAAGGAATATGGCTTAAATTAGGTTTAGATTAACATCTTATACCAAACCCTGCAATAAATTCAAAATAGATATATGATCTTAATATCAAAGATAATGCCATGAAAATTAGAAGAGAAGCAGATTATATATCTTTCATGGCTACAGGTATGAGATAACCAAACCAAAAATAGAGGTAATTATAAAAGAAAAATTGATAATTTTGATTACATGAAATTGAAAATCTTCACAAACAATGCATCCAGGCTAAGAAGGGAAGTAGTTGAATGGGGGAAAAAAATCTTTGTTTCATCTCAAATAAAGTTTAGTGTCCAAGTATAGAAAACATCTATTTATCAATATGCACATACACACATACATACACACACATACATAAACATGTGTGTATGTGTGTTTATGTAAATTATTTGGTGCGTGTGCACACACACATATGTGTGCATAACCCAAACCATTCATATATACACATATGTGTGTATGTATCTGGACAACCAAAACTATTTCTCAGTAGATAATTGGTCAAATGATACGAGCTAGAATGAAAGATTGCAAACTATTGATAACCTGTGAAAAATGCTGTAAATCAAAAATAATAAGGGAAATGCCAATCAAAACAACCCTGAGGTTTCACCTTATACTCAGCCAATTGTTAAAGATGACAAAAGATGAGAATAGTCAATTTAGGAGTAGTTGTAGGAAGACAGGTACACTGGTGCCTTTGTTCCTTTCCAGGCTACATTTCTGACTCTAGACTTTTTCTATCATCTATGACTTAGAACCGTTTCACTCTGGAAATCCACTCAACCCATGGATTTCTGACATTGGAAATACCTTCTGAACTTGCAAACTTTTCCTTTGATTGGGCAATTCCTTCCAGAACCTCCATTTTAAGTAGGATCTCCAGGCCACCCATGCTTTAATTTTCTCTAGCTGCACTGCTGATGCTCTTCTCAGACACCTTCTTTCTGCCCTACCCCCCAACTCATTAAAATGTAAACTACTTAAGAGCAGGAACTGTTTTTCTCTCTGCTTGTATTTATATTCTCTGTGCTGAGCATAGGACCCAGCACATGGTAAGTGCCTAATAAATGCTTGTTGACTTGATTTGATTTCATCCTTTGAGGCTGGAGAAAGGAAGATAATAAAGATAAAAAGAGAGCTGAAGAAATTTGAGAATGGTATTAATAATCTCAGATAAGGTAATCTCATGAAAGAGAGGGAGTGTGGGGATGGCAATGAGAGCTTGAGGAGTTTGGGAACAGTGTTATAAAGCGTGCAATAGGAAGAGTTAACATGAAGCTTCAAAATGAAATTAATAACAGGACTGGAGAGCATTAGTAAGGGCTCAGTTGTAGTTGTAAATATGGTGGCCACAAATGTCATTCCTCACACAAAAGAAACCTCTTTGGGATTTCATCTTCCCAATTCAAGTAGTCACAGAGTCACAGAATTTTTGAGCTGTCCCATGGGAGTGCTAAAGCCAGCTCCAACTGGCTTGTGAAAATGGTTTGTTGAATTTTCAATATAACCATTTACATGTTAGAAATTGGCAAGCACTACAGATCAGGGCTTCATTTATTGTTTTGCTGATTGTCTAGACCTAGGGTGGGGAACCTGCAGTCTCAAGGCCACACATGGCTTTTCAGGTCCTTGGGTGTGGCCTTTTGACTGAGTCCAAGCTTTACAGAACAAATCTTTTTATTAAGGGGATTTGTCCTGTGAGGTTTAGATTCAGTCAAAGGACTGCATTTGAGGACCTAGCAGGCCACTCATGTTCTTGAGGCCGCAGGTTCCCCACTTCTGGTCTAGACTTAAGAAAGTAATGGAGGAAATGTTAATAATACAGATTAAACTTAAAAGTGTGTTGTGGGAACATTTTCCTGTCATAAAGGCAGTTGTTAAACATTTACCAGCACAGCCCTGGGTAAGCAACTTTGGTTGCCATATAATCTAATCCACACCTGAAAAATAATCCTCACTGCAACATAACACAACAAGTTATGCTGTGGCCAGAACTACCATTTCCAGTGGTTGGCCATTACATTTTTGTATAGCTCTAATTGTTAAAAAAAAAAAAATTTCCTGAAATTATGTCTAAATTTCCCTTTTGTATGTTTTTTTCCCTTTCTTTTTCTTTTCCTTTTTTTGAGGCTGTGGGATTAAGTGATTTGCCAAGGGTCACATAGCTAGTGTCTGAGGCTTGATTTGAACTCAGATCCTCCTGACTCCAGTACTGGTACTCTATCCATTGTGCCATGTAGCTGCCCTCCGTTTTTTTATTTTCTACCCATTGCTTCCGGTTCTGTCCTTTGGAGTCAAACAGAAAAAGTTTAATCCCTCTTTCATATGACAGCCCTTCAAATACTTAAAGACAGCTATCACATCCTCCCCACCTTCAGTCTTCTCTGGGCTAAATATTCCCAGTTCCTTCAACTGATGTGCAAATAACATCGAGGACTCAAGGCTCTTCATCATCTCGGTGGCTTCTAGATTTTCTCCAACTTAACTCCAGCTATGCATTCAGCTGGTTGTCTAAGTTAGTTTGGAGCCATATCCCAGAGACAGTGATCCAAATGGTAAAGTTTGAGTCACACTTATAGGGCCCGTCTTTGATAGGTTCAGAGTCCCCTCCATTTGAGAGCTGATCTTTACTAGTTTTCTACCACAGAGGAATTTAGTCTTCCTGGAATCTTTTAGAAGTACTAAATTACCATGAAGAAGCAAAACCAAACCAAACCCAGAGACAGCTTTAAAAACTTGGTGAGAATAGTGAAAGAGGATTTTGTAGAAATGCTCATTTTAGCATTTAAGTTGGGAAGAACAGGAAATAGAGAGTATTTAAAGTAAACAATTCTTGTTCTCTTCTCTCTTTCAGATCACTGTTTTGTGTAGAGGTAGGCATAACTGGAAGACCACAGAGCAGAAGTTTGCTCCATCTGCTACTCTAGCTTCCATTAAAAGTCTCTCTGTCAGTCATCTTACAGAAAGTAGCTGGAAAGTTTTTGCTTGCAAGAAACAGAGCAAAGGGTCAGTCAGTCAAGAGGTCAACAAGACTTTATTAAACACTGACTATGTGTTTAATAGACACTGTTGCCAGCTTTGGGGATAAAAAGAAAGGTAAAAAAACAATCCTTGACCTCAAGTAGCTTACATTCTAGTTGATGGACAACTTGTGAATTATTAGATTCATATGATCCCCTAGTTGTAGCAGATGGAGACCTAGTTGTTCCATGAAGCCTTTCCTCATAACTCCAAATAGTACTAGCCTCTCCACTTTTTGAACACTATATATTTTGTCACACAAAAAATTCAATTTAGCACCATCTTAGAGAGGATCTTGCATCATTCTCTGATTGGTTCACATACACATGCTTTTTCTTCCTCCCAAAAAGGGGTTTTGCCATACACTTCATCCATAATCTC